TGTAAATGGCTACTTTTTTTCCTTTCCCAGCTCTAAAGCTTGAGTCAGGGCTATGAGCTCAGCTAATTGGGCTGAAGTACCCGATGGCAAAGGTCTTTAGCCTTTATATTCTCAAAATTGGAGGCTACAGCAAATCCAGCTTTTCTTTTTTCATCAAAGACAAAGCTGCTTCCATCAGTGTACCAGATTTCCTCAGGATTGGCCAGAGGATCTTCTGACAACCCCTCTCAGGGTTTTAGCCAATGGTCCAAAGTTTCTAGGCAAGAGTGAAAGGGGAGAGAGCCCTCGGGGGCAGGCAGGAGGGTAGCTGGGTTAAGAACCTCACAAGGGGACATATTCAGGCCTGGATTTTCCATCAGCACTACTTGATATCTGAGGATTCTTTGATCAGACATCCATACACGGCCTCTCCTGTTCAGGAGTTGTTTCACTTGGTGGCTGGTAAAAATAGTTTGCCCCCAAAAGAGAGTTTTAAAGCATCTTCTATTGGGACTGCAATAGCTGCAAGATTTCAAAGGCAGGGAAAGATTTCCCAATAAGAATAGGGCACTCGGGGACCACCAGAAACTGGTGGGATAATATTTGCCCATCCCAGCAACAAAGGAGTGCTCAGGTGAATCTTTTTGTTAATTGTTTTTCCTGTAGCACCCAAAATGGTACAGATTTGGGAGGAGAAGTCTCTGGAGTAGGAGGTCAGGACAGAGTAGGTAGCCCCTGTGTCAAGAAATTCTTAGACCAACCTGCCACATCCAGTTGCACCCTTGGCTCCAGCCGCGTGATGGTTATCTGTGACAGGAGGGCTGGCTGGAGCGAGCCACTTCAGTCCTGTTGAACCATCCTGAGGGAAGTCTTGGCGCTTGACCTCAAGGCTCTTAGGCCCCAAGGGCAGAGTGCTGCCCAGGGTCCCAGTTGATGGCATTTGTAGCAAGCCTTTTAGGAGACTTGTCACTGTTTGGACACTCTTTGGCCCAACGTCCCGCCTGTCTACAGATTAGGCATTTGCCTCGTGATTTGTCCTTCAAGGACTCGGGGTTGCTATAGGGCTTCCCTGGAGGGCGGCCAGCATCTGGGCATGCCTTGTCTCTTTCCTTTTCTCCCTTTCCTGGGCCTTGGCCTCCCTCTCCTGTTCTCTGTTATGAAAAGTATTGGCGGCTGTCTGGATCATCTCATCTAAAGAGGTAGCAGGGTCCTGGTGCTGTAGCTGTTGTAACTTTATCCCGATGTCTGAGGCGCACTGGGATAGGAATTCGTCCTTTAAAATCACCTGTCCCTTGTAAGAGTCTAAGTCCAGATTGGTAAACTTTTGGAGGGCCTCTTTTAGCCTTTCCAGAAAGGCCATGGGGTTCTCATTGGGCTCCTGAGTTATTGCTGAGACCGGGCATAGTCCCACAGCTAATAGGCTTCCTTTCCATGGGTGGACTGCCTGAGGGATGAGTCTTTCTGAAGCTTATCCTATCCAGTACTGTTGCAACCTGAGAGACGGGCAACCCCAGGTCAGATTGAGACGTAACAACTTCCTGGAGATCGAATCCCCGGGTAGGTCGAGGCATGTCAGGCTCCCGAGAATAGGGTCCCTGGTCAGGCCAAGGTATGTTGACCTTCTAGGACCCCTGAACTGGCAGATCTCTGAGCAGGTCGAGGCATGATAACCTCCCTGGGACCAGATCCCTAGGCAGGTTGAGGCAGGTCGACCTCCTGGGACCCCAGGCTGGTGGATCCCTGAGCAGGCTGAGACGTAACAACCTCCCAGGGACTGGATCCCTAGGCAGGTTGACCTCCTGGGACCTCAGGCTGGTGGATCCCTGAGCAGGCTGAGACGTAACAACCTCCCAGGGACTGGATCCCTGGGAAGGTCGACCTCCTGGGACCCCCAGACTGGAGATGGGCATCCCCAAGGTCTCCAGCATGACTAGTGCCGGGTAGGATTAAGGGGTTGTAATCTTAACTCATTGCTGGTTTGTCCACCACGGATTATGCCGGGGTCCAGCCTCGGCAGGATCCAGGGGATACCCTCAGGATGAACGACGTCGGTGAGAGAGAGAGAGAGAGAGAGAGAGAGAGAGAGAGAGAGAAGACACATGAGACCAGCCTTGATAGGGCCAACTCTGCAAGGGGGAGAGAGAGAGAGAGAGTGACCAGATGGGGGTGCAGAGTCTGGCAGAGTCTGGCAATGCTTTATTTTTTACCAAAGTTTTTATACCCTAAGTTAGTACATTTCTAAGGGGAAGATAGTTTAACATTACATCAGCTTGTCCTTCACAAAACCAGGGTGTTTTCTGCATACTCCTTTGTTTATGAGGGTCTTGTACATTATCTTCTGGCCTTGGGGCCTATTAACATTTATGCAGGTCAGGTGAATGTAAACCTATTTTCTGTTTCTCTGGTGACCTTAACTGAAAGGTAGCAGTCTCATAGGGCAACAGTACAGAGTAGAAGTATAACCGTGTTAGCACAAAAATTAATCCTTCTGCAGAAGTTGTCAGTTGCGTTTATCTAAGAAGTTTACCCCACACAGACTCTGTAGCTTCAGTGAGGCAGCCTCTGCCTAGCACTCCTGGCTGACAATTAGCAACCATCTCATTGTTACCACACTAGGGCTAAGTCCTTATTTCTCTAGATCTTTAACTATATTAACAGTGGTTTCTATAACACAACCTTGGCACATTAAAAGCAAAAACACAGCAAGCAAAACCCAGCAAACAAAACCCAGCAGGCAAATCTCAACCCAAGAACCACCTATAGAATAATGTTTCTTATGTTTTCTAATAGGACTCCTTTACCCCTTAAAAAGGCTCTATGTCTATTAGGGCTTTTATATAATCAGGTTCTTTATGCTATTTTATGATTAGGATATTATAAGCAATCATGCATATTAGTACCAAGGGCATAAATGTATTTGGCTAACAAACTACCAGCAAGGAGTTTAAATTAAAACACTCCTTTCACCCTGGATAATCTCATAAAATACCACCACCTGGGAAACTTATTGATTAAAGTTCTAAATTGATTCTTATTTGGGAAGAGAGCGGGGAAGGCCTTCCTGCCTGTGTCAGAGAAATTAGGGAGTAGTCCATTGAGGCAGACATCAGAAAGACAGATATCATCTTTAAGGTGAGGGCCAGGGGCAGCTTTTCGAAATCCCTGAAAACCTGATCTGTCTTGCCTGTCAGGCTTTCTCCTCGTGACCTTGTCATGGGTCGTGAGCTGGCCTTTTCGAAACCCCTGAAACCCTGATCCGCCTTGCCCGTCAGGTTTTCTCCCTTACGGCCTTGTTAGGGGTAGGGTCTCGCGTGTTGGCTCCTGGCAGGATTAGAATAGATACTATGATGTAAAGCAATCCAAGTCTGTGCCCTGAGACTGGGAACCTGGCAAAACAGCCATAAGCCTTATCCTCTTATTGCTCTGAGGGAATGTAAGTCACTGATTTCCTCCCCTGGTCCTCCATAAGAGCAGATTAGGGTATCTCCAATGGTAAACATTTCATTGTTGCAGACCCACTTTAGGTAACAGCAGAAGTAATGACAAAGAAGTGGGTTATCTGGTCCTTTTAGGGGCATTAGAGTATTTTAATAATAAGCAGGATGGAGTGATGTTGCCTACAAGGGGGCAGGGTCCTAGTTGTAGGAGTTAGTAAGTGGTTTAAGAACAAATTGATAAGAGGCAACAGACCAGATGTTCCATAAAAGTGGAGTGCAGATTTGATTCAGGGGTATGTTTGTAACTTTAGGAGAAGGGTGGCAAGGGTTTGGGCCCAAACGGCCTGTAGGGCTAACTCCCAAAGTGGCAAACATTATCCTCGGAAGCCCAATTGCCCTTGAAGGGACGCCACCAACAGATGGACTTCTAGCAGGCATTGTGTGCCTGTCACCCGCCCGAGCGGGCTCACTGAGAGATGCTGTTGTTGCACATGTTGTAGGAAGCATGGAAGATGAAGGCCTGCATATCTAAAGAGACTGGATATTATACAGCATTTCTCTCCCAAAGGTCATTTATTTTCTGGTTGTCCCCCCAGAAGATTGTAGAGGCAACATTGTGGGCCCAGACAGGGCTCAGGAAAAGAGCATGAAATGGGAGGGAAGAGGACAGGGCACAACTTTTGAAAGAATAACAGCCCAAGGGCATAACATAAACTGATTAAAATCAAATAGGTCCAAGATGACAAGTTAAATTCAACTAAACCTTGATCCTCAATCTGCAAGCTAAATGACATACCCAGAGATGCCAGGACAGTTCCACGTCACTGTCAAAAGAGGGAGGAGTGGGTGATTCCCCAAATGTTGGAATGATCCTCCCACTCATTAGCATATGAAATCACCCAGCTGGGAAAAAACTAACCACACCACATTCCACGGTCATTGCACCCTCCTCTGCGATGGCCCACACCCTGTGGAGTATGCTTCTCCATGAATCCAAACAAAGCCACCTTTTACCTACTGCAGTGTCTCTCACAGAAATTTTGCAATGAGATATCAGAGCCTGAGCTTCATTAGGTCCTGAAGCCAGGCACTGTGGGTTTTGACCGGGCTCAAGTCCCAGTCGGATACGACTGAGTGACTAAACATAGCACAGAGTCCCTGCCACGTGGGTTTGAGTCCCAATCTTAGGTAAACGGTTTCAAGCACAACTTTCAGATATGAAAAGATGATGACCTGCCCAATAGTTTGTAAGCAGTGGCATAGATGCAGCGAGGAACTGAAAGATGGGAGGAAAAAGCAGTGGGAAAAATGTACTGAGGAATCCCCTTCATAACCTGCTGGAAAGTCTGCTAAAAATACCTGACCTATGCTCACAGTTTTCAAGGGCCTGGTCCTCAGCACAAACGAGATTAAGGACAGAAGAACCCTCACCCGCTTGGACAACAGCTACTAGAGCACAGAGGATAATGGAGCCTTCAGAATACACTGGGTAGTAGCCTCTCCAGCGTCCCTCAATTGCACCCACTGCCACTGGCCTGTTTGTGGGGGTTTCAAGGAAACAAGAAATGAGAGATTGTAAAGGAATTAAGATTTTGTTAGCCATATGTCCTTCCAGCCATAGGATGAGGGATTCCTACCTGAACAGGAGGTCTCCTGCAATCTGAGACTGAGCCGCATGAGCTTTCTGCTGAGTTTGTTTTTGCTGTTCTGGTTTCCAGCATGCTGGGCTTCTGGTCCTTTCCACTGTGCTGGGATTTTTGCATTCAGCTTCTGCCATGGGAGCTTCACCAAGTCGGGCTTCTGCTGTGCTTGGCCTCCACTTTGCAGGGGCCAAGCTGAGGTTGTTTCAGCCAGGTTAAATCTGAGAAACAGCACCATATATGTCAGGGGAGTGTGTAATTTCCTTGGTTCCATCCTGCTGCAGCAAAAACTTGAAGTGACAGACGGACCAGTGTTATAGCTCAGTTTTATTGGCAAGTAAAAGAAAATATATCCTTGAGACGTGAGGGCAAGTCGACCCAAAAGACACAAAGAGAAGTCCCTGGCTCAATTTTGGCTCCTCCTTTTATATACTTTTTCTCCTCCCCCTGAGCCTGCCCTATGTAAACTGGGCTAGCCAGGAGGGCTGTATGTTTTACTTGAGGTCCTCACTCCAGTCCTCAGACCTTCCTTTGTTCTATTTTTGAGGGTTTTTCCCTTCTTTGTCTTTTAGCCACCTCCATTTTGGACTCCTCCTTCCTATTCTAATTACCTAACAGTGTGATGAAATCTTCCTGTCCACTTCCATCCCCCGACATGGGGTCCCAGCCACAGACATGATCAGCTCCTGACAGTCAACCCAAGGTTTAAGGTCCTCCTACTGACAGAAGGTCAGTAGTAACCTAACACACTGCCTGTACCACTGACTTCTCTCCTTTTCATCACATAGGCATTTCATCTTCTCACACTGTCACAAGAAGGGTGAGAACAGTACAGTAAAATATTTTGAGCGAGACCACATTCATATAACTTTTAATACAGCATACTTTTCTGTTTTATTATGAGTTATTATTGTTAATCTCTTACTATGCCTATTGCCATTTCGTACTATGCCTAATTTATAACCTAAACTTTATCATAGGTATGCATGTCTAAGAGAAAAACAGTATCTGTGGAGTTTGGTCCTACATATGATTTCAGGCACCCACTGGCAGCTCGGAACATATTCCCCACAGATGACAGTGGGCACTGAACATATGTATATATATTTCCCCTCTCCATTTATCCATATACTTGCTTAGCTTTTTTATTTTTGTACAACAAACATGTATTATTTTGTATGTTAACAAAATACTTGACCAAAAAAAATGGAAATGAGCAAAAGAAGAAATTATTTACTGCAAAAAGATTTGGCTCAAAGGTCATTCATACTGAAAATCATGACCCAAGACCAAGTTTTCCAGTCAGTAATAAATTCTCTTTCTAAATACTCTGAGGTGCAGCACACACACACACACACACACACACATGAATCAAAAATTAGAATTTTAAAAAACCTCCATATAGCACCATGAGCTTTATATTTTCCTAATATTCAAAAGAATATTCTTGATGAAATCAGTGTGGATATTACCAACTGTGATTTTTATAAAAAACATAGTAATAATGAGATTTGTCAGCATTTGGAAGTTACAAAATCATATGTGGGTGAAAGGTTCTTTCAGAGTGGGAGACTGATTGATTGAAAAGTTCATTGATATAGTTTCAGTTTCCCCATTCAACCAACCTTTAAAAAGTTATGACTTGTTGAGCTACCGTAAACCAAAGAGGAAAGTTCATTTACTTGAGAAGACTATTAAATACCCTTCCCTTTTCTAATTAAATATCCCTCTGAGATCAGATTTTCTTCAGAATGACATATCACAAGGGATTCCATGCCCAGGATACTGCTAGAATCCAGTTTTCCTCTATTAAACCAGACATTAAAGAAACTGTCAAGTATGAAACAATGACATTCTTCTAATTAATTTTATTCCCAAATATGTTTTATGCAAATATTTATTTTAACAGGCAGTGGATTTATTACTGTCATTTAAAAATATTTTTAAAATATCTAGCTGTCAATTTCTAAGATAGTAAATATCCACATAAACAAAAGTTTTCAGTAATTTTTAAGGGTGTAAATGGGTTTGGGAGAGGAAGTCTGAGAATGGCTAAATAAAGTCATTTATTTAAAGTTCTAGAATCTAACAACTTCTGACAGAGAGATGGAAAAATTGTTAGCAAGGAGTCTTGTTTATTTGACACACCTGTTGTCTCAGGAAGGGTTAAGAATATTAGAATTCAGACTTCCTGCATGGCACAGTGGGTAAGAATCCACCTGCCAATGCAGGCAACATGGGTTCTACCCCTGATCCAGGATGATTCTACACGCCACGGAACAACTAAGTCCTTGAGCCACAACAACTGAGCCTGTGCTCTAGAGCTAGGAAGCTGCAACAAGGGAAGCCACTGCAATGAGAAGCCTGTCCACCGCAGCTAGAGAGCAGCCCCTAGCTCGCTGCAACTAGCAAAAGCCCACATGCAGCAATGGAGATCCAGTGCACCTGTAAATAAATAAAATCACAATTCTAAGAACAGTTCCAGTTATCCACACAACTTCTAAGGTTTCTAGTTGTTGTGGCAAACTGAATTGTAAATGAATTACTTTAATATAAAAGAGATTTTCCTATCTTATCAGTAATAAAAAGTGCAAAAGCATGAAAGATTTTGATCCCTTGTTTCAGGAGAAGATGGTACTTTATTGAAAGAAGGAGAAAAAAAAAAAGAATGGAAATTGATACTAGAAGATAAGAGTTTTGGAGCTGTTCTAGAGAAAATAGCCACTAAGAAACTTTGTGATAGGGACTTCCCCGGTGGTCTGGTGGTTAGGACTCCCCATCTCCACTGCAGGAGGCATGAGATTGGATCCTGGTTGGGGAACTAAGATCCCCCATGCCATGCAGCCAAAAAAAAAAGAAGAAATAAACTCTTCAATAAACAGAATTACATATCAAGAAAAGACCGGAATCTCTAACTTGGCCGAAGAGATATTTGAAACAAGGGTAATACGTCAGCTAAAATAAAACCTCAAGTTAAGAAACATCCTCTATTCCTATAGTTTTTTTAAAGTATAACATCAGTGTAGATAACCAGAGAAAACATAATTTTTATCCGTATAAGTTCTCAGCTGCCTTGTCACCACTAGCTGGGCCATGGCCATGGTGACAAATAACAGCCCTTAAACTGACAATCTGTGATACAGAGAGCTCACATATGGAGAACTGGGAATTCATTTCAGGTAATTTAATTTTCCCTCTCTATCCAGCAGGGAAAATGTCTCACATATTTTCCAGAGTAAATGATCACGTTCCCCTGAAGATGATTCTAGAGGTACAGTATTCTAATGCTAGTTAATTGAGCTGGTGATTCCCTCAACAATCAGGCTTCACTAGCTACATGCAGGAGCTCAATAGACTGTAACATAGAGCTGGCCCGAAAGGGCTATTGAAAAGCTCCATCGCTGCACACCCTTCAGCCACAAGGATGCCGACTTGATGATGATCCAGATGGAGGCTGATGGTTGGAGCTCACTGATGTCTTTGTATCACTGGCCATTTTTTTTTTTTTTTAATGCTCATTCACTTAAGCCCTGTCACAGCACATCTACTGTCTCATAAGTTAGCAGTTAAGAGAAAATACAAACGCTTGTTTTTAAAAAAATTGGGTTAGCGGTCTACTATCTTTGAGTGAGAATCTATGGATGAAAAAGCATATGATTTAATAATAACTGCATTGCAACAATCATTACGGTGTTGGGTTCTAGATAATTGAGGACACAAACGCAGAGGTGTTTGTGGATTTTTGGCAATCAGCATCCATTGCCTCTTTGCCATAGAATACTCATTGCCTTTCGAGGACTATCTCATCTCCCATTGAATTCAATCTGGTGGAACTTGTTAGACAGATGTTTCTGCCTTGCCAAGCTGATGGCTGGGCACAGGACCCAAACTTGATGCCCCTTCCCTGCAACTCAAATCTTGACTACAGTGCCAGAAACAGAATGGTTTCTGATTTATTCTAGAGGCACAAACTAGGAAAAGCTGTTCTCGCTCCCACTTCATTCCTGCCTTCCCCATTCTCTAGTTACCTGGGCTCCTGTCCATATAACTGGCTTCTCCAGCCACTGATTCTCTGAATTCCTGATACCGGTCCAGAAAACTTCTTTTTATCAATTAATTGGAGGATAATTGCTTTACAATATTGTATTGGTTTCTGCTGTTCATCAACATGAATCAGCCGTAGGAATACATTTGTCCCCTCCCTCTTGAACCTCTCTCCCACTTCCCACCCAGTCCATCCCTTCTAGGTTGTCACAGAGCACAGGTTTAAATTCCCCGAGTCAAACAGCAAATTCCCACTGGCTATCTAATTTGCTAAAATAAACAAGCAGCTCCTGTAGCTCAATACCCAAAAAACAAACAACCCAGTCAAAAAGTGGACAGAAGATCCAAACACTTCTTCTAAGAAGACAGTACAGATGGCTAATAAACACATGAAAAGATGCTCAACATCACTCATTATCAGAGAAATGCAAATCTGAACTACAGTGAGGTATCACCTCACACCAGTCAGAATGGCCATCATTAATGGCCATGATGATGTCTGGAGAGAGGGTGTGGAAAAAAGGGAACCCTCTTGTACTATTGGTGGGAATAGTATATAATAATATGTAAATGGGGAATTGGTGGGAATAATATGTAAACTGATACAGCCACTATGGAGAACAATCACTATGGAGATTCTTTAAAAAACTAGGAATAAAACTACCATATGACCCAACAATCCCAGAAAACTTCCTTTTTGCTTAAGTTAGTCAGAGCCTAGACATCCAGTTTTTGGCTTGCAACCAAAGAGGCCCCATATAAAGTGTCCACATATGTATTACATTTAAACCTGCTAAGAGGAGTTGTGATTTATTGCTACCTAAAGAACATTAATCAAGACTTTCCTGGTGGTCCAGTGGCTAAGATTCTGCGCTCCCAATGCAGGGAACCTGGGTTCGATCCCTTGTCGAGGAACTAGATACCACATGCTGCCAACTAAGACCCAGTGCAGCCAAATAAATAAAAAAAAATAAATTTTAAAAAAGTCTTAGCCACGTGCAAGAATGTGCTGGCATAAATCCCTCAAACCTTGGTCAGTTCAAACACCCCAAGTATTCATGAGAACAAAGAACTGAAAGAATCTTTGCACAACACATACTCTGCACCAGGCATTCTGTTTAACCCCAGGGCCGATACTGGAAATAGGGAGATAAGAATAAAATGACTGCTTGTCTTCAAAGAACATATAATCTAAAGAAGCAAACAGACATGCACACAAATAGAACCCAT